AGTCACTGTGACCAGCTTCTCGTCCACCAGTCACTGTGACCAGCATCTCGTCCACCAGTCACTGTGACCAGCCTCTCGTCCACCAGTCACTTAGACCAGCATCTCGTCTACCAGTCACTGTGACCAGCTTCTCGTCTACCAGTCACTGTGACCAGCATCTCGTCTACCAGTCACTGTGACCAGCTTCTCGTCTACCATTCACTGTGACCAGCCTGTCGTCCACCAGTCACTGTGACCAGCATCTCGTCCACCAGTCACTGTGACCAGCCTCTCGTCCACCAGTCACTGTGACCAGCCTCTCGTTCACCAGTCACTGTGACCAGCATCTCGTCTACCAGTCACTGTGACCAGCTTCTTGTCCACCAGTCACTGTGACCAGCTTCTCGTCTACCAGTCACTGTGACCAGCTTCTCGTCTACCAGTCACTGTGACCAGCTTCTCGTCCACCAGTCCACTGTGACCAGCTTCTCTCCACCAGTCACTGTGACCAGCTTCTCGTGCTACCAGTCACTGTGACCAGCTTCTCGTCTACCAGTCACTGTGACCAGCTTTTTCTTCTACCAGTCACTGTGACCATCTTCTCGTCTACCATCACTTTGACCCAGCTTCTCGTCTACCAGTCACTGTGACCAGCTTCTCGTCCACCAGTCACTGTGACCAGCTTCTCGTCTACCAGTCACTGTGACCAGCTTCTCGTCCACCAATCACTGTGACCAGCTCCTCGTCTACCAGTCACTGTGACCAGCATCTCGTCTACCAGTCACTGTGACCAGATTCTCGTCTACCAGTCACTATGACCAGCCTGTCGTTCACCAGTCACTGTGACCAGCATCTCGTCCACCAGTCACTGTGACCTGCCTGTCGTCCACCATTTCACTGTGACCAGCTTTCTCGTCTACCAGTCACTGCTACCAGCATCTCGTCTGCCAGTCACTGTGACCAGCTTCTCGTCTACCAGTCACTGTGACCAGCTTCTCGTCCACCAGTCTCTGTGACCAGCTTCTCGTCTACCAGTCACTGTGACCAGCTTCTCGTCTACCAGTCACTGTGACCAGCTTCTCGTCCACCAGTCACTGTGACCAGCTTCTCGTCTACCAGTCACTGTGACCAGCTTTTCGTCCACCAGTCACTGTGACCAGCTTCTCGTCTACCAGTCACTGTGACCAGCTTCTCGTCTACCAGTCACTGTGACCAGCTTTTCGTCTACCAGTCACTGTGACCAGCTTCTCGTCTACCAGTCACTGTGACCAGCTTCTCGTCTACCAGTCACTGTGACCAGCTTCTCGTCCACCATTCACTGTGACCAGCTTCTCGTCTACCTGTCACTGTGATCAGCTTCTCGTCCACCAGTCACTGTGACCAGCTTCTCGTCTATCAGTCACTGTGACCAGCATCTCGTCCACCAGTCACTGTGACCAGCTTCTCGTCTACCCGTCACTGTGACCAGCATCTCGTCTACCAGTCACTGTGACCAGCTTCTCGTCTACCAGTCACTGACCAGCTTCTCGTCCACCAGTCACTGTGACCAGCTTCTCGTCTACCAGTCACTGTGACCAGCATCTCGTCCACCAGTCACTGTGACCAGCTTCTCGTCTACCAGTCACTGTGACCAGCATCTCGTCTACCAGTCACTGTGACCAGCTTCTCGTCTACCAGTCACTGTGACCAGCTTCTCGTCCACCAGTCACTGTGACCAGCTTCTCGTCCACCAGTCACTGTGACCAGCTTCTCTACCAGTCACTGTGACCAGCTTCTCGTCTACGAGTCACTGTGACCAGCTTCTCGTCTACCAGTCACTGTGAGCAGCTTCTCGTCCACCAGTCACTGTGACCAGCTTCTCGCCCACCAGTCACTTTGACCAGCTTCTCGTCTACCAGTCACTGTGACCAGCTTCTCGTCTACCAGTCACTGTGACCAGCTTCTCGTCTACGAGTCACTGTGACCAGCTTCTCGTCTACCAGTCACTGTGACCAGCTTCTCGTCCACCAGTCACTGTGACCAGCTTCTCGTCTACCAGTCACTGTGACCAGCTTCTCGTCCACCAGTCACTGTGACCAGCTTCTCGTCTACCAGTCACTGTGACCAGCTTCTCGTCTACCAGTCACTGTGACCAGCTTTTCGTCTACCAGTCACTGTGACCGGCTTCTCGTCTACCAGTCACTGTGACCAGCTTCTCGTCTACCAGTCACTGTGACCAGCTTCTCGTCCACCAGTCACTGTGACCAGCTTCTCGTCTACCAGTCACTGTGACCAGCTTCTCGTCCACCAGTCACTGTGACCAGCTTCTCGTCTATCAGTCACTGTGACCAGCATCTCGTCCACCAGTCACTGTGACCGGCCTGTCGTCCACCAGTCACTGTGACCAGCTTCTCGTCTACCAGTCACTGTGACCAGCTTCTCGTCCACCAGTCACTGTGACCAGCATCTCGTCCACCAGTCACTGTGACCAGCCTGTCGTCCACCAGTCGCTGTGACCAGCTCTCGTCCAGTCACTGTGACCAGCATCTCGTCCAGTCACTGTAACCAGCCTGTCGTCCACCAGTCACTGTGACCAGCCTGTCGTCCACCAGCCACTGTGACCAGCTTCTCGTCTACCAGTCACTGTGACCAGCTTCTCGTCCACCAGTCACTGTGACCAGCATCTCGTCCACCAGTCACTGTGACCAGCCTCTCGTCCACCAGTCACTTAGACCAGCATCTCGTCTACCAGTCACTGTGACCAGCTTCTCGTCTACCAGTCACTGTGACCAGCATCTCGTCTACCAGTCACTGTGACCAGCTTCTCGTCTACCAGTCACTGTGACCAGCCTGTCGTCCACCAGTCACTGTGACCAGCATCTCGTCCACCAGTCACTGTGACCTGCCTGTCGTCCAACAGTCACTGTGACCAGCTTCTCGTCTACCAGTCACTGTGACCAGCATCTCGTCTACCAGTCACTGTGACCAGCTTCTTGTCCACCAGTCACTGTGACCAGCTTCTCGTCTACCAGTCACTGTGACCAGCTTCTCGTCTACCAGTCACTGTGACCAGCTTCTCGTCCACCAGTCACTGTGACCAGCTTCTCTTCCACCAGTCACTGTGACCAGCTTCTCGTCTACCAGTCACTGTGACCAGCTTCTCGTCTACCAGTCACTGTGACCAGCTTTTCTTCTACCAGTCACTGTGACCATCTTCTCGTCTACCAGTCACTGTGACCAGCTTCTCGTCTACCAGTCACTGTGACCAGCTTCTCGTCCACCAGTCACTGTGACCAGCTTCTCGTCTACCAGTCACTGTGACCAGCTTCTCGTCCACCAATCACTGTGACCAGCTTCTCGTCTACCAGTCACTGTGACCAGCATCTCGTCTACCAGTCACTGTGACCAGCTTCTCGTCTACCAGTCACTATGACCAGCCTGTCGTTCACCAGTCACTGTGACCAGCATCTCGTCCACCAGTCACTGTGACCTGCCTGTCGTCCACCTGTCACTGTGACCAGCTTCTCGTCTACCAGTCACTGCTACCAGCATCTCGTCTGCCAGTCACTGTGACCAGCTTCTCGTCTACCAGTCACTGTGACCGCTTTCTCGTCCACCAGTCTCTGTGACCAGCTTCTCGTCTACCAGTCACTGTGACCAGCTTCTCGTCTACCAGTCACTGTGACCAGCTTCTCGTCCACCAGTCACTGTGACCAGCTTCTCGTCTACCAGTCACTGTGACCAGCTTTTCGTCCACCAGTCACTGTGACCAGCTTCTCGTCTACCAGTCACTGTGACCAGCTTCTCGTCTACCAGTCACTGTGACCAGCTTTTCGTCTACCAGTCAATGTGACCAGCTTCTCGTCTACCAGTCACTGTGACCAGCTTCTCGTCTACCAGTCACTGTGACCAGCTTCTCGTGCACCATTCACTGTGACCAGCTTCTCGTCTACCTGTCACTGTGATCAGCTTCTCGTCCACCAGTCACTGTGACCAGCTTCTCGTCTATCAGTCACTGTGACCAGCATCTCGTCCACCAGTCACTGTGACCAGCTTCTCGTCTACCCGTCACTGTGACCAGCATCTCGTCTACCAGTCACTGTGACCAGCTTCTCGTCTACCAGTCACTGTGACCAGCTTCTCGTCCACCAGTCACTGTGACCAGCTTCTCGTCTATCAGTCACTGTGACCAGCATCTCGTCCACCAGTCACTGTGACCAGCATCTCGTCTACCAGTCACTGTGACCAGCATCTCGTCTACCAGTCACTGTGACCAGCTTCTCGTCTACCAGTCACTGTGACCAGCTTCTCGTCCACCAGTCACTGTGACCAGCTCTCGTCCACCAGTCACTGTGACCAGCTTCTCTACCAGTCACTGTGACCAGCTTCTCGTCTACGAGTCACTGTGACCAGCTTCTCGTCTACCAGTCACTGTGAGCAGCTTCTCGTCCACCAGTCACTGTGACCAGCTTCTCCCCCACCAGTCACTTTGACCAGCTTCTCGTCTACCAGTCACTGTGACCAGCTTCTCGTCTACCAGTCACTGTGACCAGCTTCTCGTCTACGAGTCACTGTGACCAGCTTCTCGTCTACCAGTCACTGTGACCAGCTTCTCGTCCACCAGTCACTGTGACCAGCTTCTCGTCTACCAGTCACTGTGACCAGCTTCTAGTCCACCAGTCACTGTGACCAGCTTCTCGTCCACCAGTCACTGTGACCAGCTTCTCGTCCACCAGTCACTGTGACCAGCTTCTCGTCTACCAGTCACTGTGACCAGCTTCTCGTCCACCAGTCACTGTGACCAACATCTCAGTTACTAGCAGTATCTTGCTTAATGTGAATTTCTCCTTAGATCGATCATTGTCACTTTATTTACATTTGGGTAAGAAAGTACAAAAAGCACAATTCCGTGACTGGAATGCTCAAATATCCCACACATGGGAGAGAGGAGCTTACCACGACGTTTCGGTCCGACTTGACCCATTTACGAGTCACATTGTGAGTTGTAAATGGTTCAAGTCGGGGCCAAACGTCGTCATAAGCTTTTATATTATTGTTATTTGTCATTTTAAATCATTTTTCTTCTCTCAGGGCGATGAGGCGACGGCGTCTTCATTGTCATCTAGACAACCTCAAGTTTCCTGAGATCAGCATTGGTATTCCTCAGCCTGTGAGTGTGTGTACTCACCTAATTGTACTCACCTAATTGTGGTTGCAGGGGTCGACACTCAGCTCCTGGCCCCGCCTCTTCAATGATCGCTACTAGATCCTCTCCCTCTCTGCTTCCTGAGCTTTGTCATACCTCTTCTTAAAACTATGTATGGTTGCTGCCTCCACTACTTCACTTGCTAGGCTATTCCACTTCTTGACGACTCTATGACTGAAGAAATACTTCCTAACATCCCTGTGACTCGTCTGAGTCTTCAGCTTCCAGTTGTGACCCCTTGTTTCTGTGTCCCCTCTCTGGAACATCCTGTCTCTGTCCACCTTGTCTATTCTCCGCAGTTTCTTGTATGTCGTTATCATGTCTCCCCTGACCCTTCTGTCCTCCAGTGTCGTCAGTCCGATATTCCTCAACCTTTCCTCGTACGACATTCCCCTGAGCTCTGAAACTAGCCTTTGTACTTTCTCTAACTTCTTGGCATGCTTGACCAGGTGTGGGTTCCAGACTGGTGCTGCATACTCCAGTATGGGCCTAACATACACAGTGTACAGTGTCTTGAACGATTCCTTATTAAGGTATCGGAACGCTATTCTCAGGTTTGCCAGGCTCCCGTATGCTGCAGCAGTTATTTGGTTGATGTGTGCCTCCGGTGACGTGTTCGGTGTTATGGTCACCCCAAGATCTTTCTCCTTGAGTGAGGTCTGTAGTCTTTGTCCACCTAGCCTATACTCTGTCTGCGGTCTTCTTTGCTCCTCCCCAATCTTCATGACTTTGCATTTGGTAGGGTTGAATTCGAGAAGCCAGTTTCTGGACCACGTGTCCAGCCTGTCCAGGTCTCTTTGCAGTCCTGCCTCATCCTCATCTGATTTAATTCTTCTCATCAGCTTCACATCATCTGCGAATAGGGACACTTCAGAGTCTATTCCTTCCATCATGTTCGCATATATCAAAAATAGCACTGGTCCTAGAACTGACCCCTGTGGGACCCCACTCGTCACAAGCGCCCACTGTGATACCTCTTCACGTACCATGACTCGTTGTTGCCTCCCTGTCAGGTATTCCCTGATCCATTGCAGTGCCCTCCCTGTTATATGCGCCTGATCCTCCAGCTTCTGCACTAATCTCTTGTGAGGAACTGTGTCAAAGGCCTTCCTGCAGTCCAGGAAAATGCAATCAACCCACCCCTCTCTCTCGTGTCTTACTTCTGTTACCTTGTCATAAAACTCCAGAAGGTTTGTGATACAGGATTTGCCTTCCATAAACCCATGCTGGTTTTCATTTATAATCTTGTTCCGTTCCAGGTGTTCCACCACTCTCCTGATAATCTTCTCCATGACTTTGCATACTATACAAGTCAGAGACACAGGTCTGTAGTTTAGTGCCTCGTTTCTGATTCCTTTCTTAAATATGGGGACTACATTTGCTGTCTTCCATTTCTCAGGTAGTTGCCCAGTTTCAAGGGATGTGTTGAAGATTGTGGTTAGGGGCACGCACAGCATCTCTGCTCCTTCTCTAAGGACTCACGTGGAGATGTCCGGTACCATCGCATTTGAGGTATCAAGGTCACTTATCAGCTTCTGCACCTCCTCCTCGGTTGTTCGTATGTCATCCAACACTTGTTGGTATATTCCCTGTTGATGTTCCCTTCTGTGCTGTCTTCCCAGAGCCCTTCCTGTCTCTACTGTAAAAACTTCCTTAAATCTCCTGTTTAGCTCCTCACATACCTCCTGATCATTTCTTGTGAGTTCTCCACCTTCTGTCCTCAGTCTGATCACCTGGTCTTTGACTGTTGTCTTCCTCCTGATGTGGCTATACAACAGTTTCGGGTCAGTCTTGACTTTCGATGCTATGTTATTTTCATACTGTCGTTGGGCCTCCCTCCTTACCTGTGCATACTCGTTCCTGGCTCTGCGACTAATCTCCCTATTTTCATGTGTTCTCTGCCTTCTGTACTTTTTCCATTCTCTATTGCACTTTGTTTTTGCCTCCTTACACCGTCGGGTAAACCAGGGGCTCGTTCTGGTCTTCCCATTGTTTCTGTTGCCCTTGGGCAACAGAAACAATGGGAATATGTTGTTACAATGGAATATGTTGTTACAATGGAATATGTTGTTACATATTCCATCATTTCATTTACTGGCTTTCCTGCCAGTTCTCTGTCCCACGGAACCTCCTGCAGGAAGTTCCTCAAACCTATGTAGTCCCCTCTTTTATAGTCTGGCTTTTCCCATTCAACTCCTGTTACTCTCTCCACTTGCAACTCTACTGTGTGTGTGTGTGTGTGTGTGTGTGTGTGTGTGTGTGTGTGTGTGTGTGTGTGTGTGTATGTGTGAGACCCCCTGCAGCTTATGTGTAGTTGCAGGGGTCGAGGCTCAGCTCCTTCCTGGTCCCACCTCTTTGTTGGTCGCTGCTAGATCCACTCTCTCCCTGCTCATGAGCTGTATCATACCTCTTCTTAAAGCTGTGTATGGATCCTGCCTCCACTACATCACTCTCAAAATTGTTCCACTTCCTGACAACTTTGACTGAATAAATATTTCCAAACATCCCTGTAACTCTTCTGAATCTTCATTTTCAAATTGTGACCCCTTGTTGCTGTGTCCCATCTCTGGAGCATCCTGTCCTTTATCCACTTTGTTAATTCCTCTCAGTATTTTATGTCGATATCATGTCGTCCCTATCTCACCTGTCATCCAGTGTCGTCAGGTCGATTTCCCTTAACCTCTCCTCGTAGGACATACCCCTTAGTTCCGAGACTAGTCTTGTTGCAAACCGTTGCACTTTCTCTAATCTCGTGACGTGCTTAACCAGGTGTGGGTTCCAAACTGGTGCTGCATGCTCTAATATGGGCTTGACGTACACGGTGTACAGAGTCGAAATGCTATTCTTAGGTTTGCTAGTCGCCCATATGCTGCAACAGTTACTTGTTTGATGTGCGCCTCAGGAGATGTGCTCGGTATTATACTCACCCCAAGATCTTTCTTCTTGAGTGAGGTTTGCAGGCTCTGGCCACCTTGCCTGTACTCTGTGGTCTTCTTTGCCCTTCTCCAATCTTTATGACTTCGCACTTGGTGGGGTTAAACTCCAATAGGTAGTTGCTGGACTACGCTTATAGCCTGTCCGGATCCTTTGTAGTCCTACCTGATCCTCATCCGAGTGAATTCTTCGCATTAGCTTCACATGGTCTGCAAACAAGGGCACTTTTGAATCTCTCCCGTCCGTCATGTCATTCACATATACCAGAAACAGCACCGGCCCTAGGACTGACTCCTGTGGAACCCCGCTCGTCAGATGCGCCCCCTCTGACACTTCGTCACGTATCATGACTCATCGTTGCATTCCTGTAAGGTATTTTTGATCCATTGCAGTGCCTTAACTGTTATACCTGCCTGCTCCTCTAACTTTTGCACTAATCTCTTGTGTGAAACTGTGTCGAAAGCCTTCTTACAGTCCAAGAAAATGCAATCTACCCCACTCCTCTCTTTCTTGTCTTACTTCTGTCACCTTGTCTTAAAACTCAAGTAGGTTTGTAACACAGGATTTCCCCTCCAGGAAACCATGCTGGTTGTCGTGTATAAGCTCATCCCTTTCTAGGTGCTCCACCACTACTCTCTTGATAATCTTCTCCATGACTTTTCATAATATACATGTCATTGACACTGGTCTGTAATTTAATGCTGCCTGTCTCGTTCCTTTCTTAAAAATTGGGACTATATTTGCTGTCTTCCACACCTCAGGTAGTCGCCCTGTTTCTGTAGATGTGTTGAATATTGTTGTTAGTGGAACACACAGCACCTCTGCTCCCTTCTCAGGACCCACAGAAAGATGTTGTCTAGTCCCACCGCCTTTCAGGTATCTAAATCACTTAGCAGTCTTGTAAGCTCCTCCTCGGTTGTGAGTATTGTGTCCAGCACTTGTTGGTGAACCCCACCATTCCGGCCTTCTGGAGTCCTTTCTCTCTCCACTGAATATACTTTCTTAAATCTCATCTTGAACTCTTCACATACTTCTCAGTCGTTTCGTGTGATCTCCCTTCCTTCCTTCCTCAACCTGATTACCTGGTCCTTGACTGTTGTTTTCCTCCTGATGTGACTGTACAACAGCTTTGGGTCAAACTTGGCTTTCACTGCTATGTTATTTTCGTATTGCCGTTGGGCCTTCCGTTTTTATCTGTGCATATTCGTTTGTGTCTCATCGACTAATCTCCCTATTTTCCTGGTTCCTTTGTCTTCTGTACCTTTTCCATTCTCTAGTGCACTTAGTTTTGGCCTCTCTGCGCCTTTGGGTGAACCAAGGGCTCATTTTTGTCTTCCCATTATTTCTGTTGCCCTTGGGTACAAACCTCTCCTCCTGCTCCTCCTCCTTGCATTTTGTTGTCACGTATTCCATCATTCCACCTACTGATTTTTCACACCAGTTTTCTTTCCCACTGGACCTCGTGCAGGAAATTTCTCATGCCTGTGTATTTCCCTCTTTTGTAGTTTGGCTTCTCCTGCCCTTCTCTTCCTACTTCCCTCTCCACTTCTAACTCTATGTATTCGAAGCTCAGGACCACCTGATCACTAGCTCCAGGTGGCGTTTCATGTGTGATGTCCTCGATGTCTGAGTTACTCAAGGTGAATATGAATATTGCTGATTCATCCTTTCCTCTCTCTCTCTCTGGTAGTGTCTCTAATGTGTTGATGCATAAAGTTTTCCAGTACCACCTCCATTATCTTGTGTGTGTGTGAGTACTTTCCTAGCTACACTTGCAGAGGTCGACATATAGCTTCTGGACCTGCGTCTTAACTTCTGTTGATATAGAGTATTGATTCCTGGATTCCAGATCTTGATATATCTATTGTGTCAAACTATCCAGACTCGGTATCACTTCTCTCAGACTTAATATAATTTTTGATGCAGCATTTCAAGCTTTCTCTGGTGTGCACAGCTGCTATCCCCCCCCCCCATCCTTTCTTTTTACTGTTTCTATCCATGATAAATAATTTAAAACCTCATATATTGTATTCAGCAATATAAAACATGTGTCCTTAATTGTGACTGTCTATATTCCTCGTACATACAATTAATCTTCGTTAATTTTGTGCCTAGCATTACTGTCAGTGTAATAGATTTTGAAAATTAATTTTTCCTCTGTTTTTTTTTTTCTTCTATCTCTTTACTTTTACACTTTTATATTTGCCCACTTGACACACTTCTTTACTAACTTTACAACGCGCTTCTCTACTTTTGTTTCTGTACCACAACCATTTACCTTCCCACACTGACCTACATTTTTAACTTAAGTTTCTGTGTCACAAAGCGTCGTCGTATTTGCGCCAATCCTTCCACAGTTTTCATTATTCAAATAATTGAAACTTCCCAGACCACTGTCAGAAATTAGTATAAACTCTCCTGACATACCACTGACTCTCTCTCTCTCTCTCTCTCCTCTCCGTCTGCTCCCTCCTTATCCTTTCTTCATCTTCTTCCAGTCTCTCTTCTTTTTATTCCTCTTCTTCCACTGACACAGCCAGGGTTCTGACCTCTGACAGCAAATATGTTTTCACTGCCATAACAAATATAGCATTTGTACCGAAAAAGTTTCCAGGTTTCCGAATCCTTTATCATAGATCCTCAAGTACTTATCCCGGCGGCGTACACCCCAGTTGACTGACAGCCACTGTGTATTTCCACTGCATCTAGACATAATACCACTATTTAAGGTAACAAAACAACCTTTTCATTAATCTTGTAATAGGAAGACTAAATTGTGTCAAAGGACCGTGATAAGCTGCGAGCCGTACAGAATAGTAAGTAATTAGTTTATTTAAGTATGGACAAATTACTGTTCACATATTTTCTTTACATGCAGCATATGTGTAGGATACCTAGGAATAACCCTCCCCTCAAAAAAAAAAAAGTGACTTATTTCTTTTGATTATTTCCATTACTGTCACTCTTGCTTCTTTTCTTGGGCAGACCCTGGTAGTTATTATTTCCTGTTTGTCTTCTGTCTCACCTTCAGGTTATGTACTCTAGATTTCTTCCTATGTTCGTGTTGCATTTATCTTTACATTGCATGATTTTATCTTTTTAATTGTAGTTTAATGTTTATTGTTCCATATTTAGTCGCAATTTTATATTGCATCCTCGACTAAATTTTAGTTATTTTTTTAAATATTTAAAGACGAGAGAGAGAGAGAGAATGAATGATTTATTAAATGTGTAATTCAGCCATACCGATCAAACAAAGTTTGAATTATGATTATATAAACTTTGCAACTTATTCAAATGCCTCTGACACCATCACATAGGTGCCAGACTCTCCCAAGAAGCTCAACATCAGTAATCCCGCCCCTAAATCAATTGAAAATAATAATAATCTTCATTTCTACAAGTACATGTACAAGGTATACAGTCCTAGCTGACATCAGTCACATACTACTATATAGAAAGCTATTTTACTGCATGGGTGGAAAAGTTGACAACAGGTGTCTTAAGGAAACACGTCCTAATGTTTCTACTCGTACCAGAAATCGAATCATGGTTCTCAGTGCGTAAGCCGAGTTCTCTAGCAGTCGAGCTACTGCTTAAGAAGAAATTTCTCACTTAGCTGTTAGTAGTAATTTATCACAAGCTATACAATGACGGATCTAAGCAGGAGTCTGCTGGCAGGGCTGCATATGCTCTTGTTGTCACCTCCCTAGGTAAGAACGATAGCAACTATGTTGAGTTAGGCATAAGAATAACAACTGGGCATCTACACTGTAAACTAAATTGTTTGCCATCCTAATAACGTTAAAGCTAACTTATGACACTGAGCTTGACTCTATGATTATTACCGATTCTATATCATCACTGAAGGCTCTTGACTCACATAATGACTCTAACAACATGCTCTTTGGAAAAGCCAGGTATAGATACTAAAAAATCCGGGAAAAGGGAGTTGATGTACAATTATTATGGATTCTGTCAACTTCTAGGATTACTCCTTGTGGCACGCAAAGGGTACGTAACCTTTATTCGACTCATGTACACATCCTCATTGAAAGGCTATCTCCCCAACCAGCGAACCAGTACTAAGGGTCAAATGATGGGGCCCCATCGTTCGATCAGTACCAAGGTTCAGCCAATGAGAGGGTGGGTCTGACAGTCGTGGAGTTGTGGTCACCACCCACCTGTCCACCCTTGTCATTTCCATACTAGAGCTGGTTGAGTACGATTGTCCATTCTGTCTCCAGGCCGTGTCTTGGCCTTGCCTAAACCGTGTTGTACACATACATTTCCAACTGTATATAGTGTACATACATGTAACTAATTACTATTGCTCTTGGTGAAGGAAAATATATTTCAAAGTCATTCAGATGTTTGTTCTGCTCCTTGTTCCCCTTTACACCCAGGATAACAGGCCTTATTGTCCCTGGGTTGTAATATTTCTTAATGATAAAGTTGATAAACCAAAAAAAGTGCCCTGAAAGAAAATGTAGAATATAACTTTGGCGTGTCTGTGTCTAGCATTAGGAATAATATTAGGAGAGAAGTAAATAATGAAACTGAATGTTACAGGAATGCAGTTAGAAGCCTGAGTAGATCTATAACCTACTGTAACATGAACGTAAATAAGTATGTTTATGGACCAACTTACAATGTGAACAACCTAACTGATATTGTAGTAGCCAGGCTTAGGCTTGGTTACAAGTACTTCTGACAGTTTCGCAAGCACATACATGATCGTAGCAAATGCAAAGTATGTAGCCACCCCTATGGTCACTGTACTCGCCTAATTGTGGTTGCAGGGGTAGAGTCATAGCTCCTGGCTCCTGATCTTGAACACTGTGTGCTTAATTGTCCACTTATTCAGGAATATAAAGATAGTATAATAACCTGTGTGATATGTCAAGATATATTATTAATGGAAATAAGATACCAGACATATTAAACAAATTTCCTAAGTTTGCTGACAACAGATTAGTGTAGATTTAAGTCCAGATGTACTCGTGTAAACCCTTTCGGGCCTAGTTCCTAGGCCTTTTGTGTATCCATATGCTCTTGCACTACCCTCCACTTCTGTGGCAAAATCTAAATCTTCCTCACATTCATTCTTCTTGGGTGGCAGGTTAGCGCCGCTGACCCCAAATGAGATCAAGATGAAGGGGTCAGGTCAGGTTATAGTTGGTACTCCAGTGTGTCACGGTGTGGTGACCGCTCCGGCCCGTGTTGTGACCTCTCTTCACGAAGCTACTGAAATACAGGTCAGCACTGTAGGCTTTTTACATTCCAACAGTGAGTTGTGTGTCATTGATTATGCTGTACGTTTGTGCATATTACGTAACTTGATGTATATTAATACATTATTATTATAATCAAAAAGAAGCGCTATACAGGTATATTAATACAGCTACGCGATGATGTATGCTGACCATGCCTTATGTTCACACTAACACAAGATTAATTGTAACAACGTCATTCACATTCATGAATGTGAGCAGAATGGTGACATCCTGGTGACAGTGAGCACAGACGTAGGGTGGACACCGTACTTCCCGCTCCTGGCTGGTGTCATCACAGAAATTGGAGGCCTCATCTCTCATGGTAGGAACACACAAAGTGCTATCAGTGTGCCTTTAGCCTCTCCGGTCTTCTAACAAAATTCCCAAAGTTTTGCTGTTACCTTCAGTCTAGGTGGTCAGAACTCCACACTTTAATTTTAGTAAATATTAACATGTATCCCCAATATAATTTCAATCCATTTTATTTTCATATGTATATAATTCAAATTCATTGTATCTATTTCTTTTATACAGTATACAGATAATGTAGTTTACATGTAATATATTGTTAGACACTAAGAAAACCACTAACATGCATTTCAGGCCAACTGATCCTGATGCTTAAATACTACTTAAATACTACTTAAGAAGTAAAGGTAGATTATTTAGTAGGATTTTTTAAATGGAAATATAAAGACATATATGTTTATATTTCCATTGTGTCGGTATTTTATACCATTTATTTCCAGGATTTTTTAAATGTACAAAAAAAGAGAGGTAGCTAAATGAAGAAGAGTACAGTTTTAAAAGTAGGTATTAATACTTCAAACTGATACAGTGATCTTCACTTAAGTAGTATATCTTAAACAGTTAACTACTGTTAACTATTTATTGTTTTAAAGTGATTCAGTGTTTTCAGCGTTGTGGAATTATTGTAAGAGACGCTGAGGATACAGTAAGTTAGTGTCAGAAGAAATATATTGGAACATGATGAGTAAATAATTATGTATGGAGTCTGAGGAAGACTGCAAGTACAGGGACACAGTTACTTCAGCTGATTTTGTTTAGTATAGCGTAATACTGGTTTAATTACGTTAAGGAGACGAGGTGGTTTAACAATAGCTCTAAATCGATGGCAGACAGGGAACCTTCCGATAATTCTGGTAATGAATTACAAATCTTAGGGCCTTTTATGCCCATTAAGTTTTTGCATAGAGTGAGTTGGACATGGAGGATGTGATTTTGTATATTGTGATATCACCTGTTTACTGCGATTTTATTGCGCAAATTATATATATATATATATATATATATATATATATATATATATATATAATATATATATATATATATATATTAATATATATATATATATATATATGCAAAATAACCACTGTTAAAGAATAGAGAAATTCCAAGCGTTTTCGTAACTACTCACATTATCATAGTTCCTTGATAATGTGAGTAGTCACGAAAGCGCTTGGAATTTCTCTATTCTTTCACAGTGGTTGTTTTGCATATTCAGAAATCACCTGTTTACTGTGATCTTATTGTGTGTTGTGTGGTGGTGTGGTTGTGTGTGTGTGTGTGTGTGTGTGTGTGTGTGTGTGTGTGTGTGTGTATATATATATATATATATATTTATATATATATATATATATATATATATATATATATATATATATATATATATATATTTAGTCGTGCCGAATACGCAGAACTTGCGATCTTGGCTTAAATAGCAACGCTCATCTTGCCATATAGGATAAGTGAAAATATTGTGTATGCAATAATTTCGACAAAATCGTTCTGAACCTAACAAAAAAATATATTTGATTGTGTTTGTTTAGTACTAAATTATTGTAACATATAAAAATTTTAGTTGGGTTAGGCTAAATAATTGGCTGTTATAATAGTTAAAAGTTTTCTAATTTTTTGGTGCAAAATTAAAAAATTTACTTAACATAATGAAAAAAATATATCTTTAACGTATAAGATAAATTCGAAAGGACTTAATTTTAATGAGTTCTTGCTATTTGACCAGTTTTACATATTCGTGCACGACTATATATTATATATATATATATATATATAATTAAATATATATATATATAATATATATATATATTATATAATATATATATAGTATATATATATAATATATATATATATTATACATTTTAATATGGATATAACTTGTATTAGTGATAGTGAGTTTGCAGAGCGTGGTGGCCAGGGATACGGTCTACCATGTATTGTGAGTGTCAACACGCTACGCAAGTGCTTTCACTCAGTACATAATTTACTATTTTTATATTGATGAGCTATGTTTGTGTATTGTACTCCCTGGTTGTTTGCGAGCTCCAGCTCTTGGGGCCCAGGAATTCACTCTCTCCATGTAGTAACTCTTGTTCTGTGTATGTCTATATTTACTGTGAGAATGTGGAGTTTTTCTGCTCAGCTTTACGTAAGTTCACTATATCTTATACCTTTCTTGTTCACTTATATCTTACTACTTCTCTTGTATTTACTTACTACCTTTCTTGTTCACTCTATATCTTACTACCTCTCTTGTTCACTTACTTACTACCTTCTCTTTTATTATATCTACTACTTCTCTTGTTCCTTATATCTTATACCTTCTCTTGTTCACTTATATCTTACTACTTCTCTTGTTCCTTATATCTTCTACCTTTCTCTTGTTTCACTTATATCTTACTACCTTCTCTTGTTCACTTATATCTTACTACCTTCTCTTGTTCACTTATATCTTACTACCTTCTCTTGTTCACTTATATCTTACTACCTTCTCTTGTTCACTTATATCTTACTACCTTCTCTTGTTCACTTATATCTTACTACCTTCTCTTGTTCACTTATATCTTACTATCTTCTCTTGTTCACTTATATCTTACTACCTTCTCTTGTTCACTTATATCTTACTACCTTCTCTTGTTCACTTATATCTTACTACCTTCTCTTGTTCACTTATATCTTACTACCTTCTCTTGTTCACTTATATCTTATTACCTTCTCCTGTTCACTTATATCTTACTACCTTCTCTTGTTCACTTATATCTTACTACTTTAAATGGGCCTCAGAAAACAATATGAAGTTCACTGACGACAAAATTCAATTACTCCGCTATGGAAAACTCGAAGAAATAAAAGTAGTATCGAACATAAAACAAATTCCAACCACAGAATAGAGCGAAAAATTGGCTGACCTGGAGAATACACAGAGAACTTTCTCTACACGAATAAGCACAATAAAGCACCTCTTTTACAAAGAACAGCTGAAGTCCTTTTACCTGTACTCCTTTTAACGCAAACGAGAAAGATACATGATAATATACACCTGAAAAATCCTAGAGGGTCTAGTCCCAAATCTTCACACGGTAGGCGGTGCAACATTCCCCCAATGAAAAGCAGACGGTATCTGTATCGCTGGTACAAGTACAGGTATGGTAATAGGGACAAAGTGGTAAATAAAGATGTAAGTGCAACACTTAGAACTTTTAATTAGGACATGTTTCGCCCACGGGAGAAAAACACAGAATATATTGCGAAGGTAGTCAGGTGAACTAGGTAGGGTGAGATATAGTGATATCAGGCGGTAGGATACTAAAAATATTTGAATTTTGGGTTACTGTGTGGAAAACCGAGATGAATAGAGTAATACTCGTGAAGACCGTCCTTCAACACCAGCTTGGCATCCATCCATCCTCATCGAGTGCCCTTGTGAATTCCTGTGTATAACTCGTGTGTTATTTAAACTTTCTAATGCAAGGTGTTCATTAAGGTATTGTTTTAAAACGCTGTGTGTCTCAGTAACGTACATTCCCCGCATTAGATAACATATACACTTGCACTGGTCTCGGTAATTCTAGCTGGTCTCTTAAGTAAATCCTTGATGGATGATCAGGAGATAATGGTCACATATTGTGACTCGTGAGCATCTTTGTAACATTGCTGGCTACCTCGCCGTGAGGCAGAATGTACCAAATGAGTGACCGTTTCCATGTGGCCGGTGGGTGATTGTTTCCATGTGGCTGGTGGGTGGGTGATTATTCCCATGTGGCTGGTGGATGAGTGATTGTTCCCATGTGGCTGGTGGATGAGTGATTGTTCCCATGTGGCTGGTGGATGAGTGATTGTTCCCATGTGGCTGGTGGATGAGTGATTGTTCCCTTTGTGGTGGTGGATGAGGGGATTGTTCCCATGTGGCTGGTGGATGAGTGATTGTTCCCATGTGGCTGGTGGGTGATTATTCCCATGTGGCTGGTGGATGAGTGATTGTTCCCATGTGGCTGGTGGATGAGTGATGATGTGTGCTTATCTCGTGCAGTCATAACTTAAGTGTGGGAAAACTGAAGGTGTGTGATCAGTTAGATAACGTGATCAGTTAATGTGATCAGTTAGATAATGTGATCACATATCTCAGTGAAAAACTTGGGCTGCCTAATCCTGTACATTATCAGGAAGAACCCGATCACAATACTTTGTTCACTGTAAATAAAGCATTACCATTTTTGTTTGTGTATGTACTTACCTATTTGTGGTTGCAGGGGTTGAGTTACATCTTCTGGCCCTGATGTGTGTGATCTAATTAATGTTTACATAAATAACTCGTTACGATTGTGACCAGACATAAACATGTAAATAGTTCATTACCTATGTAACTTATCCAGCTATCATAACTTTGGGGTCCAGTCCCTGGACCCATTATGTACCTCTGTAATCTTTTGACTACCACCCACAGGATGGGTATGGGGTGCATAAAGATGTTAAACTAACTAATGCACTCTTCACCGGTGGCCCGGTGGCCTGGTGGCTAAAGCTCCCGCTTCACACACGGAGGGCCCGGGTTCGATTCCCGGCGGGTGGAAACATTTCAACACGTTTCCTTACACCTGTTGTCCTGTTCACCTAGCAGCAAATAGGTACCTGGGTGTTAGTCGACTGGTGTGGGTCGCATCCTGGGGGACAAGATTAAGGACCCCAATGGAAATAAGTTAGACAGTCCTTGATGACGCACTGACTTTCTTGGGTTATCCTGGGTGGCTAACCCTCCGGGGTTAAAAATCCGAACGAAATCTTATCTTATCTTATCTTACCAGAGTACACAGTACTTTTGCCACACAGCCAGACAACATAAGTATGGGTACCTAGCCGAAGCTATATGGACTATGGAGGATCCCATACCCTGGAGCACCAGGCTTGTGATAAGTTATTTCATCAAATCTGGCCGCATGCAGTGAACTTCGAAAAAATTTGAATGTTTAATGAACAATTCGCAAACTGGGTCTGGCTTTGTGGCAAAAGTATTGTGTACTCTTGATACGGAGCGATCACATTCGAATCCTGGTTTGGACCGTGAGATAATATTT